GTAGGGAAAAGAAGGGAAACGAGGGAAGAACAGAGTTCCTGCTCCCCAAACAGGAAATGGGAATAAAGATTCAAAATGGTGTTCCTTGTCTGTAGTCTATACTTTTTGAGCTGGGGAATCGTGGTGGTCAGGTCATCTAGCAACCCCTAATCATTAGACAGTGGTTCTCGGCTGCTAAGATGGGTGCTGTTTATTATTTTAAAGCATGGAGATTGAATCTAGGCCTACCCAAAACACGAGCACAATAGGTATTTAGGACTACCTTTTGATGGATATGCCTTTCATTTTTCTGTCTCTACCCATATTTGCAACTTCTTATAATCTCAGAGGAGAAGGAAGATGCAGAGAGCCCTTCTATGTCTCTTTATCCTTGTAACTTCCCATCTACAAGGAGGTGTGTGTGGAAGGAGTGGCTAGTTTTCTGGTCTTTCAGTTTACTTTCTAGTTCTAGCTTTTAGATTCAACATTGCAAGGCTGCTACATTCTGAAGGCACCACATGAGAGCTAGGAGCGTCAGCATATTTACAAACCTGCTGTCAATTTGTGTTAATTCTCCAGAGGAGAAGATACTGTGCTGCATTTTCCCTTTCAAGATGAAGCATGTTGCTGGAACATTAAACCCTAAAAAAAAAAAAAAAGCATCTAAGGGTATTCCAAGATTACTCTAAATTTCTCAGCAGTGAACAAATTGAGAGCACCAATTCAAAAATTCTTTGTTGTTGCTGTTGTTTTAAGATAGAGTCTCTGCAAGCAGCCCAAACTAGTCTTGAACTTGGAATCCTCCAGAGTGCTGGGATTACAGACAGGTGCCTGACTCAAATATTCTTTTATCTGGAAACGACCTCCTTCTCTTCTAGTTTTTCTTGTCCAACTTCTTCCACCATGATTTTTTTTCAACAACATTGAGACCACAAGTCTGTTAATTTCTCTGTTTTCTGTCTGCATGTTCTGTCTTCCTTTTCCATCTTATCTGAGATTCTGTACTATGAAGGTGATTTCAGCACTTCAACCATAGCCTGAGCTATTTCACTGAAGTCAGAAATGTACTAGTACTAAGACAAGGCTGGTCAAGGAATGAGATCTACTGACAACGTGGTGCTTTGTGACCGGGGGTCTGAGGAGTATGTTCTCTAGTGTCCTTCAAAGGTGACCACGAGCCTTTTTCTTTAATCACAGTGAAGCCAAGGTTTCAATTTTGTGTGGGGGCATGTGTGTGTAGTACTAAGGTTTGAACTCTGTGCTTTGCACTTGCTAAACAGGTGCTCTACCTCTTAAGCCACACCTCCAGCCTAGATTTCAACATATTTTTGCATTTCAGTTCATTGCTCTTACCATTCCTTCTGAAACTGAAATTGTCCCAGTTTTGACAGTAGGACTATCTTAAGTTGGTTCCAAGGTCTCTGACACGATTGTAACACTCTTTGACTGTTCTCTTGTGTTCCTGCTCCAGGCTCATTTTACATGTTTTTGAAGCAGACTGGGAAGCACCATTTCTACCTGAACTCTAGGTTTCTGGTTCCCTTAACAGAAAATGGGATTTAGAGGCCACCATCTCAGCATGAGAGATGCTAATTGCTATTAAATTGGTTATCAACTCAGCCTTTTTAATGGACAGAGCTAAGACTCTCTCTCTTTCTGTAGGAAAAAAAACTTTATTAGTTCATTCAATTCAAATTTAGATTATTATAAATCTTACAAATTATAAGATTTTTTTATTTAACTTTGACTTTATTTTGGATTACTTTTCTCTTACATTTAGTCTTGGTTTCTAAGACATATACTTTTTTATAATACATAAAAAAGCTTCAGAATACAATAACAAAATTATTAATATTCATACTACTGGAAACATTTAATTTTTTTTTAGATCCTAGATGTATCCCAGTGAGGATGGATAGGTAAAGTAGTGTATTTTAAAACTCTGCAAAATAAGCTGGGGGTGTGGCTTAAGTGTTAAAGTATTTGTCTAGCAAGTATAAGGCATGAGTTCAAATCCCAATACCACCAAAAATCAAACACAAAAACAACTGTTCTACCCAGTTGTCACTCAGTCAAAACAAAGATGAGATCATTTGTTTCCTTTAGCTTTTCATTTTTTGGGAATTTCTTTTCTTTTCCATGTTGATTTAATATTTTCTTATAATAATATAAACACTTACATGGTTTGAAATCAAATCTACAAAACTGTGTACATTCTGAAAATTTTAGCTTTTATTCCAGACCCTTCTTCTTTCTTCTTCCCATCCCCCATAAGCTACTTAAATTATTTAAAAATCTAATTAAATTTTTTGTCCATTTTTCATTCCAACTTTAAAACTACATGCAAATATTTTATATTTGTGTACAAATATATACACCTGCCTTTTATATAAAAAGAGCAATAGAGTGACACTTTCCTCCATCTTTTTTCACTCAGCATTACATCCTGGACACTACTTCCCCGCAGCGTGTAGGATTATCCTTCATTACTCCCAGTGCTCTGTGGCATGTCAGCGCCACAGCTCCAGCCTCCCGTCCATAAGTACTTGATCTGTTTCCAGTTCTTTGCTATTACAAGTGCTGCAGTGGATGCCTTCCTGATGTGTAATTAAGACTTTACATGTATGATCGTACTTTTATTGAATCTGAAACTCCATTGCCTATGAGAGGCACCATTACTCTGGCAGTGAGGAAGAAAGCACATTGCTAATTAATATGCCATTGATGGTAAGCTGAATCCCAACTTCAGAGATTTAAAATGTATAAAAAAGAAAAGTGTATGCCTTAAAATTTAGGAAATCAACATCACCTATAACTCCCCTAACAACCTAAAAGGGAGGGGCAACTATAAAGAGCTTCATGAAGGAAGAGACTTTTTCTTGTTTTGGGCTCTATTCTCCGCCCCCCCCCCAAAAAAGACTATACCTGACACATAGTAGGCACTTAATTAATATTTGTTAAATAAATGGACGAGCTCTTATTTTACAAATGGGGAAAGTACAAAGTTTAACTTGTCTGAGGCCAGATAACCACTTCCTGGCTGAGCCTGGATTTGAACCAAAAAAGTCATGACTCATCTCTGCTGCATTCCCCACCCCCCTCCATAAATTCATAATTATCACTATAAATGGGCTCTCAACAAGCCTATTGTTCTCTGTAGAGACAATTATCTTAAATCCTCACAAGGCTCAAGGGTCCCTTTCCCTAGATTCCCCTGACCCACTCCCTCCCTCTGAGCCAAGAACCTTGCCTTTTATTTCATAGACAAAAAGAAGCCAAGGCAAGAGAATGTTTTATCCAGGCATTGTGGTACATGCCTGTAGTCCCAGCACTTGGATGCTGAGACAGAAGGATGGCAAGCTCCAGGGCAGCCTCAGCCACATAGCAAGTTCAAGGTCAACCCAAGCTACATAACAAGACCCTGTTCCAAAAACCAACCTTTGGGGATGTAGGTCAGTGGTAGAGCATTTGCCTAGCATGTATGAGGCTGTGGGTTTGAACCTCAGCACCTTAAAAAAAAATCTCAAATCTTCCTGTAGTGTCAGGGACTCTCTCCTCTTTCCCACTGTGCCAATAGTGGATATGACTTTCTTCCTACTGGAGGCTGATTCCTTTACTGAGGGATCCTGTTCTGTCTGCCCTCCTAGAACCCTTCCTTCTTTCTCTCTCCTTCCTCCCTCCCTCCTTTTCTCCTCTCCTTCCTTCCTTCCTCCTTCCTTCGTTCCTTCCTTCCTTCTCTCTCCTTCCTCCCTCCCTCCTTCTTTTCTCCTCTCCTTCCTTCCTTCCTCCTTCCTTCGTTCCTTCCTTCTTTCTCTCTCCTTCCTCCCTCCCTCCTTCTTTTCTCCTCTCCTTCCTTCCTTCCTCCTTCCTTCGTTCCTTCCTTCTTTCTCTCTCCTTCCTCCCTCCCTCCTTTTCTCCTCTCTTCTTCCTTCCTCCTTCTTCGTTCCTTCCTTCTTTCTCTCTCCTTCCTCCCTCCTCCTTTTTTCTCCTCTCCTCTTTTCCTTCCTTCTTCCTTCTCTCTCTCCTTCCTCCCTCCTCCTTTTCTCCTCTCCTTCCTTCCTTCCTCCTTCGTTCCTTCCTTCTTCTTTCTCTCTCCTTCCTCCCTCCCTCCTTCTTTCTCCTCTCTTCTTCCTTCCTTCCTTCATCTTCCTTCCTTCTTTCTCTCTCCTTCCTCCCTCCCTTCTTTTCTCCTCTCTCTTCTTCCTTCCTCCTTCCTTCCTTCGTTCCTTCCTTCTTCTCTCTCCTTCCTCCTCCCTCCTTCTTTCTCCTCTCCTTCCTTCCTTCCTTCTTCCTTCATTCCTTCCTTCCTTCTTTCTCTCTCCTTCCTCCTCCTCCTTTCTCCTCTCCTTCCTTCCTTCCTTCTTCCTTCGTTCCTTCCTTCTTTCTTCTCCTCCCTCCCTCCTTTTCTCTCTCCTCTTCTTCCTTCCTCCCTCCTTCATTCCTTCCTTCCCTCTCTCTCCTTCCTCCCTCCCTCCTTCTTTTCTCCTCTCCTTCCTTCCTTCCTTCTTCCTTCCTTCCTTCCTTCTTTCTCTCTCCTTCCTCCCTCCTCCTTCTTTTCTTCTCTCCTTCCTTCCTTCCTTCCCCCCTCCCTCCCTCCTTTCCTCCCTCCCTCCTTCCTCCCTCTCTCCCTCCCTTCTTTCCTTCCCTCCCTTTCCCTTTTTGGCCCAGTAAATTCAAGTTATCTCTAGTATCAGGATTAAGCTTGGTCTCGAATAAGAAAGCACCTAATTAATTGTGGTCTTCTCTCCCTTAGATTTTTTAAATTTCAATTTGTGATTGCATTAAAGATGGAAAATTACCTACTTCCCAACCTCTTTTAGAAGTTTATATGACATTTAAAGCCTCAGAGCTGAGCCAGCATGGTGGCGCATACCTGAGAGCGGAGGCAGGAGAGGATCACGAGTTGGAAGGCAGCATAGGCCAATGAGATCCTGTCTGGAAGGAAGGAAGGAAGGAAGGAGGAAGGGAGGAGGAAGGAGAGGACTGCACTGAGAATATTCCCTTGCACAGAGAGAAGAGAAGGGCCTGACAGACTTCAGCACTCCAGCACTTACTCCTAGAGAGGAAGAATCCACAACAGGTCTGAAAACAGACTTCACTGAAGAAGAAAAACCCAGACGTGTTTTTGTCCTATGAGCCAAGAGGGAATGTGTCTAACACTGCTCAGATAGTGAAGTGAAATAACAACGGGTAAGTGGCTATTGTGTCTGGTAACACGGATGCTATCAGTGACTTGGACAAGAGTTGTCTTGGAAATGAACTGAGGACAAAATGTGAGGTCAAGGTTAGTCAGTCATGATGGTCAACTCGAGAAGTTCAGTTTCCTAGAACAGGGCTGGTGGAGTGGTCAAGCGCTAAGGGTGCTGCCTAGCAAACGTGAGGCCAGTGCTGCCAAAAAAAAAAAAGTTCAGTTAGGGACGGGAACAGCTGAATTGGCCTAGAGAGACATATGAAATCAAGATAATTTTTTTTCTTTTAGATAGAAACACTCATGGCATATTGTTTGCTGGTGGAAATAAACCATGAGAAAGGAGACTGACGATAGAGGCAAAACAAGAGGGAATCACTGCCAGAGCAAAGTCCTTAGAGATGTGAGGTCAGAGTGAGTGGCTCCAGTGGTAAAGCACCTGCCTAGCAAGCCTGATGCCCTGAGTTCAAGTCCCAGTGCCACCAAAAAAAAAAAAAAAGGAGGTCACGTTCCTACAACAAGGTAGCTCATAATGGGTATGTACAAAGTTGGTTGTGGTCCTTGTCTGCTTTTATTTTTATTTTATGGTCAAAAAGTACAGGTAAGGGTAGATTACAATTGGGTTGGAGAGAGGTAGTATGTTTAAAATATTTGAAAATACAAAGGTATGAATTAGTCTATTTAAAGAGCGGGAAAAAAGAACATTCCAAGAAGTAATATAGAATTCTCAAGCATGCCAGGCACTCAGTTGAGATTCAGGACCATGAATTTAAAGACCAATGAGACACATTGAACAAGACCACTGAACAACAGTTAGGGCTGTAGTGCAGGCCCATAGTGGGTAGGCTGAGGGGTATACTGAACTGGAGGCTTCCTGATGAGTACAGCAGGGCAACCTCAGGAAAGAGGGGCAAGGGTGTTGCAAGAGAATAATTATAAACATCTTTATGGACATTTAGTCAGATGGATGTGAACACATGGTCCTGGATTATAATTGGGAAAATGGTAGACTCTGTGATGAAGTTCTTAATGAAGTCAAGAGTTATTGCAGCGAGAGAACTGGAGAAGGGGGTCCCAGAAGGACAGAGGATGGTGGCAATGTAACTAGAACCAATGAGGCTCTTGGAAGAGGCCTCTACCTCACCTGAGGGCACCAAATTTGTGATTTCAGAAAAAAAAAAGAATTTTCGGACATATCATGGTAGACACCAAGAAAGTTTATAGAGGCAAAACAAACAAAGGAGAGTACACAACCCTGAGTCTTCCATTTTAGGTATCAGTCTATGTAAGGTGGTCATCATGACCATAATCAAATACACTGATCCCATTTATTTTCAGGACTGACATAGCTGGTGACCACATCCATATACAGTAATGATGCATATGGGCTCCCCATGGAACCACCTGACTCCACAGGTCTGTATCTCATTGGTTGCTTCATTTGAAATGTCTTCTTTTAATGGCAATTAATCATGTGGGGTAAAATCAGTAATACCTCATAAGAAATAAATAAACTTTGACATTTTAAAACATGGGAAATAATTGGTTATTTGACTTTTTTTTCCTTTGGCAGCACTGGGTTTGACCTCAGGACCTTACACTTGCTAAGCAGGCATTCTGCTGCTTGAGCCATGCCGTCAGTCCAGTTTTTTGACTTTAACCAACTTATCAAAAAGTCCTGGGTTTGATCCAGGGACATGGCTTAGGTAGTGAGCAGCTGCCTAGGAAGCTTGAGGCCCTTAGTTTAAACAGCAGCACCACCAAAAAAAAAAGTTCTGGGCTTGAGATGTTCTCTTTTATAAGTCATTAATAAAATATGAAGTCAATATTGGTGAAGATTATTAAGTGGTAATACCCAGTTTCAGTACATGTAAAAGGAAGCTGAAGCTCTCTCTTGTACGTCCTAGACAAGTAATTCAATGGTAGCATACATCAAGTGGCTAAAAATATGAATACCTAAACTGAGTGGTGGGTCACTCCTATAATCTCAGCTACTTGGAGGTGGATATCAGAGTCAAGGCCAACTCAGGCAAAAAGCAAGACCCCATCCCAACCAATAGCTGGGTTACTGTAAGTGCCTGTCTCTCTGGCTTTCCATGGAAGCATAAATAGGAGGACAGAGGTCCAGGCCAGTCTGGGCATAACTGTAGACCCTAACTCAGAAGTAACTAAAGCAAAAAGGGCTTTAAGTAGTTCAAGTAATAAAGTACCTGCCTAGAATACGCAAAGCCCTGTGTTCTACCATCAGTACCAAAAAAAAACAAAAACAAAAAAAAACCCATAAATGTCTGCACTATCATTCTAAATTTTGTTTCTTAAATGTATAATTATTGAGGTAAACAAGGTAATATTTGAAAATGTATTATTTGAAAATAATGTTACTCTTATAACAGACCAAACATTCAACAGTAAGAAACATTAATCATTCTACACCTGTACAATGGAATATAATGCAACCATTTTAAAATACATTGACATTGAATATATAATATCTAAGGAAAAAGCAGGCCAAACATGTTAGCTTGGTACCACTGTTTTGATGAAATAAATATGTATAAAATCTATAGGAGGGAAAAGATAAAGAAAATTCAGGCAACAATTAGCAATAGTTACATAAAGATAGATATATACAGATCAAAGGAATACAATTCAAAGTCCAGAAATGAACTCTTACAGTCAACTGATTTTCAACAGGTGTCTAGATAATTCAATGGGGTAAAGAATAACGTTTTTAACAATTGATGCTGGGTGACTGGATGGTCACATGCAAAAGAGTAAGGCTGAACCCCTACTTCACACCATACATTAAGATATCTCAAAGTGGATCACAGGCTGAAATAAGGAAACTCTGAAGAAAAGGTAGGAGTAATCCTCACCACGTTGGTTAGGCAAAACCTTCTTAGATACATCAAAAGCAATGACACAAAAGTAATATCAGAAAGGTTGGACTTCATTAAATTAAGAACTTTTGTGCTGCAAAATGCTATCACCAAGAAAGTCAAAGACAATCACAGAGCAAGAGAAATAACTTACAATGTGATGAGACTTGTATCCAGAATATATAAAAGAAGTTTTATGACTCAAAATAAAGAGAAAAATGACTCAATTTTAAAAGGGCAAAGAATTTGAGAAGGCATTTTGTATAGAAGATATACAAGTAACTAATAAGTATATGACAAAGTGCTCGCATCATGAGTTATTAGGGAAATGCAAACCTAAATAAATTGACATAGCACTTTACACCCACTGGAATAACACTCTCCCTGTCCTCCTTCTCTCTGTCTGTCTTTGTCTCTCTGTCTCTCTCTTTATCTATCTATAGATAGTGTTGGAAGAATTAGAACCTTCATATATTGCTGATGGAACACAAAATCATAAATAGTACAGCCATTTTGCAAAATAATGCAGCAGTTCCTCAACATGTTAAATTAGTTATCATGTGACCCAGATTCCAAGATACTTGAAAACAAATTTTCAACCCAAACTTCTACATGAGTATTCACAACATCAGCAAGTGGAAAAAACCCACTGTGCCCTGATAAAAGTGCTAATGCATACAATGGAATGCTATTCAGCAATAAAAAGTCAAGTACTGATGCATGCAGCAACATGGGTAAATCATGAAAGCACTGTGCTAAGTTAAGGGACCCAGTTACAAAAGACCACAGACTGCAATTCTATTGTGATAAAATGTTCAGAAAGTAGGTTAGTATTTGCTAAATAATAGGGAATGTGCTAGGGAAAAGGAGATAAAAATGTTCTAAAATTAGGTAATGGTGGTTGTGCAACTCTGAAAACACCCTGAAAATATATTGAAATTATGACTTTGTTTTTAAGGGCGAGACTGGGGTTTGAATTCAGGGCTTCACGCTTACACAGCAGAAACTCTACCACTTGAGCCACGCCACCAGTCCTTTTTTGCTCGGGTTATTTTGGACATAGGGTCTTGCAAACTATTCACCTGGCTGTCTCAAACCACCATCCTCCTGATCTCGGTCTCCTTAGCTAGGATTACGGACATGAGCCACCAGTGCCCGACAAAATTAAGACTTTTTAATGGGTGAATGTGTCCATCTCAATAATGACACTAAAAGTGTTAATAGCACTTATTTCTGAAAAATGGGCCCTATGATGGGGTTTTCTTTTTTCTCTTTGTTTATTTGCATCTCCTACAGTAAAAAAGTATGTCTAATGTGGGAATAAAGAAACAAAGTTATGGCTTTAATAGTTTATCTCAACAAGGTAATTCTTAGAGTTACCTGTAAAAGTTCAAGACTGAAGAGCTTCATATTAAATATTTCCTTTCAAAGACGGCCTCATTTTCCCATCCTTTTCCCCACATTACTGTTCTCTACTGTAAGATAAAGGAGCTTTTTTCTTAAAATAAATGCAATCCGTGGTTTTTCTATTTTTCCCGTGTTATGCGGTGATTCACTGCAGGCTGAACGCCTTTCCATTTCTGACTTCTCATTGTGTGCTGCGTCTCAAAAACCTTCTGCACTTTCAAATTAAATAATAGGGGAATGTGCTAGGGAAAAGGAGATAAAATGTTCTAAAATTAGGTAATGGTGGTTGTGCAACTCTGAAAACACCCTGAAAATATATTGAAATTATGACTTTGTTTTTTTAAGGGCGAGACTGGGGTTTGAATTCAGGGCTTCACGCTTACACAGCAGAAACTCTACCACTTGAGCCACGCCACCAGTCCTTTTTGCTCGGGTTATTTTGGACATAGGGTCTTGCAAACTATTCACCTGGGCTGTCTCAAACCACCATCCTCCTGATCTCGGTCTCCTTAGCTAGGATTACGGACATGAGCCACCAGTGCCCGACTAAAATTAAGACTTTTTAATGGGTGAATTGTGTGTCCATCTCAATAATGACACTAAAAGTGTTAATAGCACTTATTTCTGAAAAATGGGCCTATGATGGTTTTTTTTTTTCTCTTTGTTTATTTGCATCTCCTACAGTAAAAAAGTATGTCTAAATGTGGGAATAAAGAAACAAAGTTATTGGCTTTAATAGTTTATCTCAACAAGGTAATTTCTTAGAGTTACCTGTAAAAGTTCAAGACTGAAGAGCATTCATATTAAATTATTTTCCTTTCAAGAAGACGGCCTCATTTTCCCATCCTTTTCCCCACATTACTGTTCTCTACTGTAAGATAAAGGGAGCTTTTTTCTTAAAAAATGCAATCCGTGGGTGTTTCTATTTTTCCCGTGTTATGCGGTGATTCACTGCAGGCTGAACGCCTTTCCATTTCTGACTTCTCATTGTGTGCTGCGTCTCAAAAACCTTCTGCACTTTCAAATCTGAACGTGGATAGGAACACATTCATTATTGTGGATTAACAATTTAATCCAATTTAGCGGATTGCATTCTTGCTCCTTCTTCACCCTGTGACTGGCTATCATAGGGTTACAATCCTTTAACGGTGACAAATATTAGCAGTAATCAAGGCAGGTTGCAAAAAGTTCTTAAATTTCAGTTTGACAGTATAATAATATGCTGTGAGGATTAAAATGACTGTTAAAATAGATTATATACAGTCTTCAAGATTGTATAAAAGTACTTATAAAGAATTAGGGGTTTCTTCTTCACTACAGCGTATGTTGATATATTGATTAATTACTTTACTGCACACAGATGGATCAATCAGTATAGGATAACTGGACTGAAAAAAAATAGCTACTAACTGGTATTTGTTTAAAGAGATTTGCTTAGTTGAAAGGCAATCCTACTGAAACAGCGAGAGAATTCCACAGAAATACCATAATGTCAAATTTTCCTCTTAGACATAGAACATGAAATTAAAAATGATTGCATTAAGATTGGAGGGGACACAGCTCACAAAAATCTGAAATGATTGATGGAAAAACTCTCCCAAAAGGTAAGAGCATTATAAAATGTAAGCTATTATCACATGAACCAAGCATACTATTTGTTCTTAAAGAGTATGAACCAGCTGGGCACTGTGCCTCACACCTATAATGCTAGCTACTTGGGAGGCTGAGATCAGAGGGTCACAGTTCAAGGCCAGCCTAAGCAAATAGTTTGCAAGACCCCTGTCTCCAAAATAAACAGAGCAAAATGGACTGGAGGTGTGGCTCAAGGGGTGGAATGCCCAAGTGCAAAGCCTTGAGTTCCAATCCCGGTCACACCAAAATAAATAAATAAATAAAGTATGAACACATGCTTTTGCTTGAAATTTTATAAAGATCTTTTTTTTTTTTTTAAAGTTTTGTCCTGGAAGTCAGTGTTATGAAAAATAGGCTCACACCTGTAACCCTAGCTAGTTAGGAAGCAGAGATCAGGAGAGTCACAGTTCATAGCCAGCCCAAGGAAATAGTTCTGAGAGACCCCATCTCGAAAGAAAACCATCACAAAAAAGGGCTGGTGGAGAGGCTCAAGGCGTAGGCTCTGAGTTCAAACCCCAGTACCACAAAAAAAAAAAGTAAAAGGCCTGTATAAGTGCCCAGAAAACAGCAAGCACCAGCAGCAGACTTTGGTTTTATAACAAAGTGTGATTTCATTTTTTTTTCATTTTTCTTTTATTATTCATATGTGCATACAAGGCTTGGTTCATTTCTCCCCCCTGCCCTCACCCCTGTGTGATTTCATTTAAAGCAGAATCTGGGGCTTAAAAAGCAAAAGTTAGAAAACCAATGACTGTATAGGTGCATCTTTAAATCCTTTCAGTATTGGTGAATCAGTTGTGACCTGCGCCTGAATTCTAAAGTGGGGAAGAGAGACCCTGATATGATGAGGCCAGCAGACATGTAGCAGGGGCTAATCTGCTGTCAGGAGGCATCAGAAGCTAGACAGTCATCCTAAGACCCCATTGGGTCTTAGGTCCAGACACCACTGGATCCTCATCTACCACGCACACACACATGCCTACAAGAAATTTTACACTATAAATTAGGCACAGTAAGATATTAACAACAGTAATAAAATAGGACAATTTATAATAATATACTGTAATAACTACACAAATGTGGTCTCTCATCTCTCAAACTACCTTAATTCCCCCTTGCACCATAATAACGTTTTTTGTCTGTGTCTGATTGCAGGTAACTCCAACCACAGAAATCGAAACTGCAGATAAAGAGGGACCACTGTATAATGGCCACGTTTATGTCGAGAGCCCAGGATGTAGTTGTGTTTGCTTCCCATGGAGATTATGCTTAAGCAAAGGCTGGGAGAGGTAGTTATCTGCTCTTATAGCAAAATGGGATATGTGCTTTTTTTCCTCAGTGTTAAATACAATAATTATTTGAGCCAGGTGTGGTGGTACACACGTGTAATCCCAGCAGGAGGTGTAGGTAGGGGGATGGTGGCCCAAGTCTGGCCAAGCAAAAGTGCAAAACCCTACCTGAAAAATAAGCTAAAAGTATGTGGTGCAGGTGAGAGAGAGAGAGAGAGAGGAAGAAGAAAGAGGAGGAGAAGGTTAAGGAGGAGGAGGAGGAGGAGGGAAGGAGGAGGATGAAAGGAGGATCAGGAGAGGAGAGGGGCAGGAGGGGAGTGAGGAAGAGAATAATCTTTTTGGAAGAAGAATAATGGCACTAGAGCTTTATCAGAGCCCATCACCCTGTCTGCCTCAGCCACCCTATTACAAATTCCTTGAGGACAGCCACCCTAGTTTTTTTGTCTTTGTGTGGCCAACACTATGGCAGTATCTGGCATTTCAGAAATACCTGAATGACTCGCAAGAATTTAACAGTCTTGCAAACTACCAACAAAGTGATAGCGATTTGGGTTTAGGCTGACGTAATGAATGGCTGTCAGGGTAAAGAAAGCTGTTAGCAGGCGCCACTTGCGGATTCTCTTTGGATCAGAAAACAGCTAAAGTGAGCTCCTGGCCCCTGGTGTTCTCCTAACATCCTGGTCCCTGTGCCCAGGGTTACTGCACTTTTTGCAGGGTGGGACACACAGCTTGCACTGTGAGCCTGAGCCTGGCTGTTGGAAGGTAGTCGTTCCAGACAGGAGTGCCATTTGCACTTGCATTATCCCTAAAGCAATAGCTCAAAAAAGGCACTAAAACATTTCTGGTCTTGGATTAGATTCTGAGAAATGTGCAGATGCTTCCTTTCCTGAATCAAATAAATGTTTAATATGGATGATATAATTTACCTTGTTTGATTTCTAAATAGGCAAGTATCAATCTGTATGTGTATATTATCCTTAAAAAATTTAATTTTTTATCTAGTTGCTAAAATATTTGGTATTTATTTTACCTTTCCATTTATTTTAAAATCACCATAGTGGCTTGCCACTAAGAGGCGGAGCTGTTTCATTTCTTATGGGAATTGAAGGTAGTCAGTAACAATTTTGCCTGGCCTTATTTTTCTTTATTTTATATGTGAGTAGATTTCATAATGACAAAACAAAAACTTCTTTGGGTTACCTTTGGAGGATGCTAAGGAACCAATCTGTAATTCTAAAACCTTACAAAAGTTTTTAAGAAACTGTCTTTCCTGTACAAACTGTACTTCAGGGTAGCCATTAAGGGATGACTTTCCTTTTGTGTCTTCACTAACAAATGAAGCAGGCGTGATAGACTTGGGGTACCACAGGCCACAATCTCCAGTGAAATAAAGAGCTGCTGGAGGACCTGTAGCATCTCAGGCAGGGTAAATCCACCCATCAGTGAATTTTCTTTTTTGGGGGGGATGATACTAAGGTTTGAACTCAGAGCCTCACACTTGCTTGGCAGGCGCTCTACTAATCCAGCCACTCCATCAGTCTTTTTGGTATTTTTGAGATAGGGTCTCACTTTTTGCCTGGGCTTGCCTTGAACCTGATCTCTAACTCCCCAAGTAGCTAGGGTTATAGGCATGAGCTACTGACCCCGTAGTGGGTGCTTTGCAGACCTTCAATAGCAAGAGTCCTGGCAGATATATGGAGTCTGTTTCTATATCTCTAAAATGTAAAATTATATAATAAAGAAATAAATAAATTTTTAAAAATCAAATGAAATATCTGGCTTGTTCATATACTTAAATGGAATGTGGTATTATCTAGCAAAAAAAAAAACCAGAGAGCATTACTGTTCTGTACTGTACTTCCAGAATTTGGAGCACTAGTCTGATTATAGGCTTCAAAATATTGTTCAAGAATTCTTTCTCCTCTATATTACTAAGTAATAAACTACTATTACCTTGGATTTGAGAGCTAAAATTTTGGTCATTGTCAAAAATTCAGCTGTAAATTCCTCCTGGAATGAAGTAGGAATGTAAATTTACTTTTTTTTTTGGTGGTTCTGGGGTTTGAACTCAGCTTCACACATGCAAAGCATTCACTCTACTGCTTGAGCCACACCTCCAGTTAATTTTTCTCTGGTTATTTTGGAGATGGGGTCTTTTGAACTATTTGCCCTGGCTGGTCTTGAACCTCGATCCTTCCATCTCAGCCTCCCAAGCAGCTAGGATTATTGGCATGAGCCACCAGCACTAGGCAAGTGAGTTTAAAAGGGATCAATCTATTTTTTTTTTCCTAATAGCTTCTTTCCTAAGAGCTCAAACTCTACTTTCACCTACGTGCTAAATTCTCGTCCCATGGCTCTTCAGAAGAATACTTTTTCTTACCACTTAGAGGGGATAAATAATTCAGAGTAAGATAATACCAGCTGTAACATCCACCTGACCAAACGCCTTCCAAGTCTCTTTAGAAGCATCTTCGAAAGAGAATATTGAGAGGCAATTTTTTTGAATTTCTGTTTTTTTCCAACAATGTCAAAGCAAAGAGAAACATTCTTGCTTCATGTTCTCTGTTTGGAAAATCCCTTTCTTATCAGAGGGTGGCTCTGGTAGTCAGTTAATGCACCTGGAGCCAAGACAGCGCCTGCACTTTCCCAGATTACAGAATCCAGGCTGAGAGGAGTTTAGCCGTCTTCTAGTCCCTCCGCTAAGGGATGCTGGCACCAGACTTGTCCTAGAAATGAGGGCTTTACCCACTTAAAGGCTGGCAGAGAAGATAATACCATTCTTTTCTTAGGAATGAATTTCAATAAGTAACAAGTCTCACAAGAAATGAATCCACTGTGTTTTAGCTGAAATTCTGATCTCAGTGGAAACTGAAGTTACTGATGACCTGTCATCAATGTGAGAGTCCTTTTCATATTTTGATAACTTAATTCAAAGTTCTTTTTTGCTTTTTAATGTGCCAGGATATAGCCAGAACTTACTTAGTTGCTGATTTCCAGATATTTTTGTTTGTTTGTTTGTTTGTTCATTTTGTGAGACAAGGTCTTGCTATGCAGCCTCCAGTCCAGACTTAAAATCATGATCCTCCTGCCTCAGTTTCCTGAGTGCTGGGATTATGGACATGCACTCTGTTGACTTCTATATTTTCATGTTTCTTAAGTGAGAATGTATATTTCTTTTTTGCTTTTTTAGTGCAGGAAGTTAGTTATTATTTCCAACAAAGCTTGCTTTCCTTTGTGGTGGTGGTGTTGTTTTTTTCTCTCTCTCTCTCTCTCCTTGTTGTAGTACTGGGGTGCATTGTGACACTTACACAAGTTCTTACAGTATATCATAGTTGAATTCACCCCTCCATCATTCTCTTTGTTGTTTTCTTTCTATTTTGGCTACTGAAATACTTTCTGTCATGCTTTTTAAAAATTTTTATTATTTTAAAAAATTATTTTACAAGTCCAGTGATTTTTATTCTTCATATATAAGCAGACAAATTAGCTTTCTTTTAAAATTTGACATTTGCCTAATAGTAAAGAAATTTTTCTAACCATTTTTTATCATGTTTTGTTGTACTGGGGTTTATTGTGACATTTACCAACATTCTTACAGTATCATAGTTGAACTCATCCCTCCTCCTTCTCCTTTATCTAACCCCCCACCCCCATTCCTGGAATAGTTTCAATATGTCTCATTTTTTCATCTTCAATACTGAGTGCATAATATTCCACCACATTCCCTCCTATACCCTGTCCTATATGTCCTTCCCCCCACTACTGGTGCTAACCACACACGGACCTGTTTTCCTTCTATTTCTCTGTTTTTGCAAAAGACATTTGTGTTTGTTTAAGATATCTGTAAGCAGATTTCATTGTGACAATTCCATGTATACAGGTTAAGCCCTAATTGGTTACATCCCGTCCATTTGTTCCTTTACCTTAGTCCCCTTCTTACCTTAGTCCCCTTTCTTACCTTCTTATGGTGTTGTCACCACTTGATTGGCTAAAAAACATTATGTGAACCTAAATGTAAGTGTTCATATCTCATTTCTTTTCACTATGGTAAAGAAATTCTGACAATCTTACATTTTTTAAGTTAAAAATAAAAACTCTTCTTCATGATAAACATCTTAACTCTATTGACCCAATGGTTATTGACTGGAGGCCAGTTTTACCTCCAAACACCTACAATGTCTGCAGTTATTTTTGGTTGTTACAACAGGAAGGAAAATGCTACTTGCATCCAGTGGGCAGAGGCCGGACATGCTGCTCGACACCCTAAACTGCAAAGGATAGTTCTACACACACACACACACACACACACGCACGCACGCATGTGCACACACACACGCACACACACACACACACACACACGCACGCATGTGCACACACACACACACGCACGCATGTGCACACACACACACGCACGCACGCATGTGCACACACACACACGCGCGCACACACGCACACACACGCATGTGCACACACACACGCACACGCATGTGCACACACACACGCACGCACGCATGTGCACACACACACACACGCACGCATGTGCACACACACACGCACACGCATGTGCACACACACACACGCACGCACACACACACCACGCGCTGCCACACACACACCACGCATGTGCACACACACACACGCATGTGCACACACACACGCACGCACGCATGTGCACACACACACACACGCACGCATGTGCACACACACACACACACGCACGCATGTGCACACACACACGCACGCACGCATGTGCACACACACACACACACACTCACTCCAAAGAATTATCCCTCCAATTTTAAAAGAATCAGTGTTGAAAGACTCTGCTATCTTTCTTCATGTTGTATCTTATTTCCAGGCCTTTAGAGATCACTTGATCTTTCTCTGAACCTTCTCTCACATCATCCCACCTAGATTTGAAACGATGAGGTATTCCCGATCATTACTGAGCCCTAAGGACAGATTACTGCACGCTCCCTTCCTCAGGTGATACTTCTTAAGGGTTAATTGAAAGTGGCATGTATGACATGAAGGGCACAGAACTTCTCTGAGAATATAAATGACTGACATTGAATGTTGGTTAGCATCTATTTGGATGAACACAACCCAAGTTCTCCCCAGATAATATCGTTAGAATGTTTGGGACTGGTAGAAAAGGAGGGGGCAGAGGGTGGT